ACTAAACCCCTGGCCACGCGCTATCACAGTGTGGCTGCTGCTGGGGTCTCCATGGAAACCAGCCACGCGGGCAGGGGCTGCTGGGACATGGGAGTCCAGACACAGGCCGGATCTGCCATTTTGCCCAGCCCTGACTTACACAATCATTGCCTAGAGAGATCATATTCTATATCAGATAAGACACAACTGTTGGAGAAAATCGACAAACCAGGAGAGGCAGATTGGGAAGGAGACGGCAACAAAAATGTTTTGCTGAATTGTGAAAGTCAGTTCGTTATCTGGCTATCCAATGCAAAAGGCAGTAATTTACAGTTATTGTGACACAGGAAAAGCGAGGGGAACAGACTGTATTGACCTTTCTACCATTGCAGCATCCATTCTTCTTTCACAAAAGTGGAAATTACCTTCAGAAGTATAGCACATACAATCAAATTTGAGTGAAACTTCAAGAAGTGAAAGATCCATTACTAGCTCTGAGCAAGGAACTTCCTACATGGCAAGCATAGAGCACTCTACCACAAAATAATTTGATCTCAGCATCTGGCTCAAAAGTTGCAGCCACACAGTGTCTGCAAAGCATGTAATCCACACTTGCCTACAGCAGGCAGGAGCCCAGAGCACAGTTAAACGCACATTATAGTACTTTTCAGGGTTGGGCACAGGCACAGCATAAAACAAACCAAAGTGTGGTTCTTGAATGGTGGAGTCACTAGCCCTACGCCCTGCTGAGAGAGGAAGTTTAAAAACAATTCTGCACTAAGTTTGGCCTCTGTGTGACTGTCACAAACAGAGATGAAAGTTGGCAGGAAAATTAGCACAGGAAACCAGAGAAATTGGGGACAGTGGGAAGTTCTGAGAGAGAGACCCCCATGAAATAATCACAGCTGTGAGTAAAACCTCCAAGAGGCAGCAGCTCCAAGGACACATTAAGTGACTAACAAACAGGGAAGCTGCAGCTTGTCAGTCAAGTAATTATTCTGTCTGGACTTGTGAGTCTCACCATGGCTGCCTCGTTTTACTCAACAGCCCCTTTAGAAGCTAGTTAAGAGACTGCATTCCTTGAGTGTGCTCAAATGCTGGGAGGTGCTCTCCTGTGCTGCTTTTCTTTCTCCAGCCCCTAGACTGCTGGTGTCTTCTCTCTCTCAGATTGTGTCCCCCTCCCTGGGTATTCCAGCATGGAGTTTCTCCATATTCCTAGATATGCTCACGCTCTCTTGTACCACAGTAACGTTGACCACCAAGAAGTCAATGGAAGCCACCAAGAGAAATGACATACCTCAGACCTTGATGCTCCATAACCTTTTTAATTACAGTGACAGGTGCCCATTTGTCACTGGAAACAAGGGCATCAGGCTTTGCTGCCCAAGGGAATCTGGAAAAAAAATCTGGAACAGCTGCCTACTTACTGGCAAACATCCCCAGGAAAGTGATTGAAGCACTAGCACTCCAAGACATGCCTGGATTATTATTGGTAACCATGTTTTAAATTATTTTCAGACACTGTTACTTTCAAACCTACGGTACATTAGCAAACATGTTCCTTGAGTCTGTTGTAGTAGTGAACAAACTTGGACTTGGTCAAATACAGGTTTGTTGGTGGCACCCTTAATACAAGATTGTTAACCAGGGCCTTTCCCACATGTGGGGTTGGTGCTCCTCTTTATGAGCCTATGTAACAGGCTTTTTTATCTTCTTAAGAAAAAAAAAGGAAGTGAGAAATACTTCCTGTCCTGAGTAATAGATTATAGTTGGGTTCCTCTTCAGCTTGAATGGGACCATCTGAGCTGGAAAGTGTAGCAGTCACTATCCTCACTAATTCATTGTCAACGCTTCAAGGAGCAGAAAACCTTTCCAGAAAATCCAAAGCATGTTAGGCTGTGGCTCCTTAGTCATTATTCATTGGCTTGCATTTCCACAGAAATAATTTGTTTCACTATTTACTTGCAGATTGAGTTTATTTCTAAATAAAATGCTATATTATTGGTTGTTAAACGATTATTTTTGTATTGACTTTTCATCCATGGGACAGGCTTGAAAACTGCTTACTGCTGCAGAGTTCATAATCCACTCTTAAGGGGAACAAGAAGGACAGATCTTGAGGGCCAGCCACTGAGCAAAGCCTGCAGTGCCAAGTTCATAGCTGGATAAGCAGACACATCTCCACGGACTTCAGAAATGCGTGTGCACTTGTGCCAGCCAAAACTACTAAGTATCAGGTGGATGAAAAGGCTATGTAATTACTGTATTAGTCCACGTTCCCCTAGCTCAGATCGCAGCATTTGAGAAACATCCCAAAAGGTTTGTTCTGTTGTACCAGTAAAGAGTAAAAGAGATGGATTCTGTCTCAGAGGAGAAGAAATGGGCAATATGCTGTTTTTTTTATAATCAGTTAAAAGATGTATAGTATAGTAAGGTGGTAGCATCATTAGAGTTAAGGTTGAGATAAAACACACTGCTAAACAAAGCACCTTTATAACAAGCTAGACCAGTTATCAGTATCCACTGTTTCTTTGGTTCATTCAGAAAAACACACATGCACCAAAGGTCTAATGTAAAACCCACTGAAGCCAACAGAAAGATTTTCACTGGCTAGGCAGGGCTGATTCAGACCTCAAAAAGCCACTTTCTCTCAGACTCAAGAACCAACTTATTTGCATAAGTATTCGTTTTTAGTAAAAAAAAATATAAATGGCTGAATGCTTTATCTCCAGAGATTACACTTTTGATCTTTGCTAGAAACAACATTTAAATATACCAAACGGTTCTAGAGGTATTGTCCAAAGGGCGGCATTAGTAACCATACTGTAAAGCTGTACCATTTGGGGTCATTACTGTTGTATTTTTTAAATGTGGATTTACAAGCATTTATAAGCAAAAGGTGAAGCTGGGCAATGCTAAGAGATAGGTCTCTGTAGGCCTCAAAGTTTTCAGAGGCTTTGGGAAGAAAACTGCCCTCCATTTCACACCTGTGTTACTCTGCTACTGCAATTAAGGACAGCAAAGTGTTTGTTACAAAGTTTGGAGGGCTGGAGGTTGAAAACCTTGATTTATTGCAGGTGAGTCTGTTGCCAACTTGATCAGCGCAGGTAATGAAGGGCTGTTGCAGGCTTTGGAAACTTATTGTAATTAAAATGAGAGATTGCTTTTGTTGGATTCCTTACAGTGTATCATCCTGAGAGAGGCTTCTTATGCTGGAGCATTTTTTTCTACTGCTCTATCAAGTGTTAAGTACTGCTTTATTAGTACTTTCCTTGTTTTCTGTCTTTTTTCTGCTTTATACATCACTCATTGCCATCTCCTTTCTGTTAGGGCTTTCTTTGCTTAATTTTACTATGTACACTTTTACAGATTCCAGTGGGACCAAGATTTCCCCCTTGAAGTCGATGACAAAACTGCTAACAAATTGATAGGTCTTCACCCTGGGCACCCAGCACACACATATGGGGCACTGTACAAGGGCTTTCACTTAAGCAAATGAATGACAGATAAGGTGTTCCTCCTCTGCCATTTCTGACTTCTGTCCACCCATGTCATTACTCTAAGCATTTAAAGGAAGTTGATAAGCCTCATAGGGAGTATACATACGTACTTGTGACTTGCATGTAAATAAATGGAAAAAGTAAACCTGGGCCAGGCAATTTTCACTTACTCCATAATTTTACAAGAGCAGAAAGCACCACCACGTGCAGTTGCAGGTATTTTTCTTGCACCACATGCAGTTGCAAAAACCTCTCTTAGTTAGGGTTACTTATGGAATGGAAGTCAGAAATGGTAGAGGAGGAATACCTTATCTGTCATTCATTTGCTGTGTGAAAGCCCTTACCATGTGTCCAGGTTTTCCCAGACTCATCGTCTTTTTGGATCCTCTGAAACAAATCTTTGCTTGATGTTTGAAATCTAAACAGATGTCCAGGATTTTGCTCTACTCTGCTGGTGGGAGCTGGGGGGGGGTGACGAGGCAGGGGCATCACGTGCAGCTGCACACACACGCACGTGCGTGTGGCCAGGCAGGGGGGTGAGACCAGCCTTGGCAGCTGGATGCAGGTAAGTGTATGGGGGTGGGAGGGACGTGTGTGTGTGTGTGTGTGTGTGTGTGTGTGTGTGCACGCGCACGCGCCTAGCTGCGCTGGGGTTGGGTCTGGAGCTGAGGCAGGGCAGTGGGAACAGGGAGGAGGAGTGGGGGGGAA